TCTTCCAGTACTAGCTCCACTTCAAGTAGCACTTCCACTTCCTCTTCAAGTTCAAGCTCGTCAACGACAGGAACTTCAACCACAAGCTCAACCTCCACCACCAGCACAACATCTTCCACCTCTACTTCTTCGTCTACCACAAGCACAAGTAGTACGACGACCTCGACATCCTCAAGTTCTTCTAGTAGCAGCTCCACTTCAAGTAGCACTTCAACAATCACATCAAGCTCTACCACATCAAGTAGCTCCACCACCAGCACCAGCACAAGCTCCACAATGACCACTTCTTCCTCGACCAGCAGCACCAGCAGCTCGACAACGTCCACATCATCCAGTTCTTCCAGTACCAGCTCAACTTCAAGTAGCACTTCAACATCCTCTTCCAGTACTAGCACTTCATCGCTTACATCATCAACTACCAGCTCAACCACAACCACTAGCACCACTTCTTCCTCTACCACTAGCACTAGCAGCACAACCACGTCGACATCTTCAAGCTCTTCCAGTACTAGCTCCTCTTCAAGCAGCACTACCACTTCCTCTTCAAGTTCCAGCACGTCAACCACTTCAACCTCCAGCACCAGTAGCACTTCCACGACGTTTACCACGGTGTCGTCCACAAGCGTAAGTAGCACAAGCACGTCGACATCCACAAGCTCTTCCAGTACCAGCTCCTCCTCAAGTAGCACTTCAACATCCTCTACTAGCTCCAGCACATCAAGTAGTTCAACCTCGACAACCAGCACATCCTCCACCACAACTTCATCTTCCTCGACCACAAGCACCAGCAGCACAACCACATCCACATCCTCAAGCTCTTCCAGTACTAGCTCCACTTCAAGTAGCACTTCCACTTCCTCTTCAAGTTCAAGCTCGTCAACGACAGGAACTTCAACCACAAGCTCAACCTCCACTACAAGTACTTCTTCGTCCAGCACGAGCTCAAGTAGTTCGACCACGTCCACATTGTCGAGTTCCTCCAGTACAAGTTCCACTTCAAGTAGCAGTTCCACTTCCTCTTCGAGTTCTACCACAACAACTACCTCTACCACGACCAGTAGTACCACCTCAACAACCTTTAGCTCCACATCTACGACAAGCACAAGCAGCACGACTACGTCGACATCCACAAGTTCTTCCACCGCAAGCTCGACCTCAACGACCAGCTCAACATCCTCCTCCAGCTCAAGCTCGTCATCAACATCAACAAGCTCTTCGACTTCGTCAAGTACCAGCAGCACAACGTCCACCAGTAGCACAAGCAGCTCCACATCCTCAAGCTCTTCCAGCACAAGCTCTTCTTCAAGCAGTACTTCAACATCATCCTCTAGCACTAGCACGACAAGTAGTTCAACCACGACGACCAGTACAACCTCCACAACGTCTTCTTCAACCTCTACAACAAGCACAAGTAGCACTACTTCTTCAACATCCTCAAGCTCTTCCAGCTCCAGTAGCAGTTCGTCCTCAACATCCACTTCAAGTTCCACGACAACGACATCAAGTACGCTCAGCACTTCCACGTCAACATCTACAAGCTCAAGCACTTCATCCAGTAGCTCTACATCCTCCACTACGAGCTCCACGAGCAGCACCAGTTCCTCCTCGAGCAGCTCCTCGAGCAGCTCTTCAAGTAGCAGCAGCAGCAGTACAAGTACTTCTTCATCCACGAGCAGCACGACTTCAACTTCCTCCACGGCCACAAATACCAGACGCTCAGCTGCAAGGGAGTAGATATGCGTACAGAGGGTGCCACTGTGGCAGAGGCTTCGGTTGGAACCAGGAGAGCATTGGATGTGAAGGGAATGCTTTTGTGACCACCATGCTGGGGACTTGGAGGGTTAGAAGAATATTGCTCCGCAGAGAGGGCAAGCAAAGTACAGGCGACTGAGGGGACACTCCTTTTTGTTTTGGGGTGGCGCAGCTGAGGTACTACAACGGAAACTGCCAGTACGACATCCTACACTCTCACCACAACTAGCGAGACCTCAAGAAACTCGGCAGGATAGTGATGGCTCGCAGTAAGCAGGGTCGCTGGCTCCAGGTTGGTGTTCAAATCGCAAGAACCATGCTGAAGAGATAAGCAAATTCACTTTGGTGAGGCTCGAGCACTTCGACGAGTAGCAGCACTAGTGCGACGAACACCACAACCACGACTACCTCAACCACAACCTCCACATTCACGAGTCTCTTGCCAGCTGTGGGGAGTGGAAAAGGCTACAAAAAACATCAAAAAACATTGGTTTAACTTGAAGCTGTGTGAACCGAAAGCATGGGTGGTTGCTTGAAGCATGAGTGTCTCATCATCAGCACCCCTACCAACGTGCGTTCGGGCGAAACAACGGTAGCCAACTCAGCGATTCGCTCATGGAGGAAACCGACGGACACTGTGGAGTGAGAGAAACATCCCAGTACTGTCAACCATAGGGGCTCACTGTTGAGTGCAATGTAGAGTGCCCTTTGTTACCAGTAGCTTCTTGTTCCTGGTAGTAAGGCCAGGAGCCCCTAGGCCCTAGTAGCGTCCTTGCTCCTAGTAGCGATGCCCTTTTCTCCTAGTAGCAAGAATGCTCCTGGTACTACCCCTTGGCACCGGTCAGGTTTTCAGGATTCGCATTAGCTGCTGTCAAAGGAGAAAGAGAGCAGCTCTCGTTTCCAACCAATCAGGGGCTGCAAAATAGACTGCCCAGTACTGATAAAGATACGGTTCACTGGAAGGCTCAACTTCAACTACCTCGTCTTCAAGCACTACCAGCACTTCATCCACTAGTAGTAGCTCCAGCAGCAGTGACCTGGCATCACAAGGCCTGCCTTTGTGTTTCAACTCTGGCAAAGCGCAGAGCTTCTTAGGCTCATCAACAAGTACCTCTTCGACAACATCATCAACAAGCACAACAAGCATCAGCAACTCTACAACAACCACAGAGACTTCGTCAACGACCTTCAGTACTACATCCGCCACCCGAACCACTTCAACGAGCTCAAGCAAGACAAGTACCTCAAGTACTTTCACGGCAACCACATCAACATCCTCGAGCGTCAGCTGGCTTGCGATTGGAATGTCAATCGCGTTTCTAAACTGAAGCACTGGCCAGCCAACAAGAAGGGTGCACCAGAATATGGAAGAATCCGTAATTACTTTTATTCATCAACTTATATTGAAGTGAGAGTTTAGGCTTCCCTCTTCCGGCTGCCATGTAAGTATCATTTTTCTTTCTTTCTTGTTTGGCTTGTTTTCTTTTTGTTCCTATCCTGTTTGCCTGCTCTGTTTGCGCTACTCTTCGAGCTTCCGTTCTTGCCCTTTTCTCTTCCATCTTATCACGCGCTGGCCTAGATTTGCCTCTTCTTGTGTACTCAATTGCGGACCCAAAGTAAGTCCTTTGCACTATCTTGCTGTCAACTTGATTTGGCAAGTGTTGCGAAGGTCACGACTACACCAACAACGACCACTAACACCACCAGCAGCTGGGAATGCCAAGGGAGTCCAGTGAACAGGACATCATGATGCGATCATACGAGGATGTGAAGCTGGACCGAACTTGAAGCGATTTGGACATACCCTGAAGTTACAAGACGTTACAAGCAATAGCATATATAGCACATGGATCTGTGCCGCCTGGGGAGTATGACATGGCTATTTGACAACTTTTGATCAAAGGTTTTGCCAGGGATGCTGTCTCCAACTTCCCCCAACTCCAGATGACATCGACGGAGTGAGAATATGAAATCCGTGATCTTGTCTATCGCAGCTGAGTAGTGAGCACAATCGAAGGCTTCAAAGAGTTAGGAAGCCCAAAGAACTTACACGCATCCAGAGGTGACATGTTCAAGTCTGCTGGTTGAGGTAGCACCACAAGCACGAGCACGACCTCAGAGCCGTGACCACAGTGCTTACAAGTAACTAACTTCTTTTCATGCTTTCAGAGAGGAGGACGATTAGTTCAGAATAAGCAAAATAAGTGCAGCAAGAAAGAAATAAATAAAGAAAGAAAGAAAGAAAGCAACAAGAAAAGAGAAAAGAGAAGAGACATGAAAGAGACATAATAGAAGACAACGAGAAACGAAAGAACCCATTCTCACCATTGTGAGCGAAGGTATGTACAAACCCTGGATGGACTAAGGGAGCTACTAGTAGTAACAAGAAGCTAGTAGAAACAAGTGCCACGCTAGTAGTAACAGGTGCCTTACTAGTAGTAACAAGAAGCTATTAGAAACAAGCATCGTCAATTTAAAAGGTCTGGGGCAACCGGGCCGTCCTCTGGTCCACTGGTTTTTCACGAACGAGTCTATGGTGATGCCTGTGATGCCAGCGTTCTGATCACCATGCTTTCTCCGGTCACATACCCTATTGAACTGGACAAAGAAGGGCCAACAAACACAGTCTGAAGCAAAGCTGAGCACAGCTATAAGGCTACCGGGCTAGCTGCCATACTCTTGTGAGGTGTCAAGAACACGTTCTCATGAATTGCAGGAAGCTTTGACGGTTTGCTCAGTGAGGTCTGCAACTGCAACGACCACAAGTCCTGCGACCGACGCCGCAACTTTTCATGCAAGTGAGCAGCATTCGCAGGGTGTGCAGCCATGTTTCCAACCGGATTACTAGCAGGCTTACTGCGTGAAATAATGAACAAGAACCAATGTTGAGCTGAATTCTGCGTGTTGTGGGTCGTGCACTCATCTAGCTACCATCCTGCTCCCGATATGTTTTGACAAAAAGTGATGTCTCTCAGGAAACAAACCATCGCATCATTCGGCCTAAGACGTGTCAGTGGGACAGGTCTTAGCTGTGAAGCCTTGCGAGCCGAGGGAAGGGAAGCCTTGCGTGTGCAGCGGGCACAAGATGCAGTGGAACGGATCGAGGCGGCCGAACAGGACCGACGGACCCGACGACCTCACAACCCGGGATGGCTCGACGACCTTGGTTTGATCCGAACAGCACCACATGAGGACAGCGGTTTTGACTTGTTGACTTATTTGATAGGCACAATCAGTTTGCAACACACATGTCTGCTCATAATAAAATAAGACGTTGATTCTGGTTGCAGCAAGCAGGCAGCTTTTGGTGTCCTTGATTACACTGGCTGGGGCCAAGACAGGCATGTCAGTGTCTAAGCGACGGTTTCATCGCCCTCGCAAACCGGTCTTGGAGGAGAGTGTCTTGAACCTTCTCAGCAGTTTTGGCAATTCTAGCGCCACTTGGATGCCTAGAAGCCTTCCGTTAAATGGTCGAATCAAATGATGCTTTGTTCTCCACACCATCCTGTTTCTTTGCAGTCTTGAACACCACAGTCGTGGTTCGCTGGTGCCGCTTGCGTGATGAACGCTGTACAAATAACTAGAACTAAAAACAGTCAAGGTCAAATCATTTGCGACCACTTGACAATCCATTCGTTCAGGTTTTTTGAGCCGAACATATTCTGTATATCTCAAGCCCTTGACATCTGCATGCTTTTTCCAAATCTCCAAAGGTCCTTCAAGGCTACTTGCAGACGGATGTGGGCTTGGTGCACATCACAGCCTTCTCACCCCAGCAGTTCTCTGCTGATGAGGAGATGGTCTTGACTTCCGGTTCGGACATCCGTGTGGAGGCCAAACGCGAAAGAGCAATAGTCTACATAGTCTTGTGCCGTTTTGATTCCCGAATAGCGAAGGATTCCCGTCGAACACTGAAAGTCTGCGGGTGGAGCTGTGTTCGCGTGTTTCTGTTGGAGCGATCGCACGCGTCGCTATGGATGGGCGACGTGTCAGATTCATGTGAAATAGATAGCGAGCAACTTAGGTGATTTTTCCAAGTGTGACGTTTGCTGCACAGGTGCAGCGTTTTGGTGAGGTCAGCAGTTTGCGTCGCGGGACATTCAGATATGCGTTTCCAGGATGGTTCTTTGCAGGTGTTGAGGGTCGCTGTGCTAATAGGATTTTCTCTTCAAGGCTTTGCATCGAAGGTGTGTTTCGGTGACACGTCCTAGCTAGCAAAAGTGTCGAAAGCCCCCCCAAGATGCAGATTCAGCTAGACGCGAAGTTGTGGCATAGTCACGCTGGGACTCATTTGTCTGGCAGGCGCAGTAGATTCCATTGGGATTGGCATGTTAGTCTGTTAGTGGTCTTTGGAGGTGCTTGTGAGTGTTCTCGTCTGACTTTTCTGCGGAAGTCTTAAGTCTTAAATGCAATGCTCCGGCTCGGGGTTGAAGTCTAATGCGAAACGCTCAACTTCCCACGCACTTTCGGGCTTTTGGATTTTTATCCTATGGAGTGCTCGTTTTGGAGACTTCTCATTTCATTTTCGGAGGATGTCTTGAAGACTTTGCTTTTGGAGGAAGTCTTTTCCAAGACCTTCGCTTTTGGACACCACTCTTCACTTTGGAGGATGTTTTGCGCATTTGGCTCGGCCATTTTGTAGAACAAACGTAAGTGTCGACAAAAGCGCCATAAAGAGTGGCAGGCAACATAGAGTGTCATACAAGAGTGTTAGGCAGGAGTGGAGTGCCCCACAAAAGTGTCCTCGCTCTCGAAGAGGGTCGCACAAGGGCATCCTACAAGACTGTTGAGCAAGAGTGTCCTACAAGAGTCTCCCGGAAGAGCCATGCAAGGCTGTCCCACAAGAGTGCCCTACAGGAGTGCCCTAGCAAAGTGTCACACAAGAGTGCCCCACAAGAGCGCCCTCGCTCTCCAAGAGTGTCACAAAAGATTGTCGTACAAGAGTGTTGCACGTCCTACAGAAATGTCTCAAATGAGTATCCCAGAAGAGTGTCATGCAAGAGCGTTCCACAAGCTTGCGTGATATTGTTGTGTAACCTATGCAATTCTGCTGTGACTAATAACCCGGCCCCCCAATGTTAAATGAGGACTTTGTGACTATGAACATGTTTTGAACATGATGACAATGTTGCAAATTAATGACAATGATGTGAAAGCTATGGCAATGTTCTGAAACGACGGCAATGTTGTGAAAACGATGACAATGTTCTGAAATCGATGATGATTTTGTGAAAACAGGTACCAGCTGCATGCTCGATGAAGTGATGTCAATCAAAAACTGGGCGAGTCTTTGGTGGGAAAATGCAAAACGTTTGGAAAACTACGGCCTCCCAGAAGGCGGTCCCACCATCCACAAGAGTGTCATGCGAGAGTGTCTGTCGAGAGCGAGTTCTGCAAGAGTGTAAAGCAGGACCGTCCTCGAAGAATGTTAGATTGAAGTGTGTGTCCTACAAGAGTGTTGCACTAATAGAGTGGTGCCCTAGAAGAGTGTCCATGCAGAGTATTTCACAACAGATCCCACAAAAGTTTCCTACACGAGTGCCACACAGTTTCAGAGGATCAAATTGCGTTGCATTCGGTCTCGTGGGTTCCATCATGTTTTCATGTTTTCTGATATGACATGACCATTGATGTCAGGGCTTGCATGTTTTGGAAAACCTGAGCTTCCTCTCTGCAGGTGGTTGGCCATATTATTCAGCAGGCTGCAGAAATGTCACCTGGCCGGATCAAACACTTTCTACGTTAAAGTGGTCCTTTTTGTATATATCTGTATCTTGGGCAGGGTGTTGTGTAAATGGCATCAAATTGGGGAACTTCATATGGGAGCTCCAAATCGAGAACCGACAAATGAACATGACCATGCACATCCTCGGTGACGAGGCCAGTGCCCGACCGGCTTCCTCGTGAGTTGGTGGGTGGCGATTCACTCACTATCTCCACCATCTCCAGGCTTCGTCCCCGATCGACCGAGGTCACCTGGTCCCATCATGGTGAGCATCACTAGAGGGAACCTTGGCCGCAAGTGGGGGTTCGCTTCTCCACCAGGTTTTCTCTCGAAAGGTTGTTGCTCAGTGGATGAGCTGTTGGATGGAGCGGTCCTGGTAGCTACCAGGACCCAGATGTTCTTCGAAGAATGGTTACTTGGACGGCTGCAGGCTGCACACTCCTAAACCAAACCGATTGGTTGTTTCGGCTGCTTGATGTTTGGTAAGGACAGACGACATTGCCTCCAAGTTCACGGACAGTACCATGTCAGGATTCCGCTCACTCGTTCTGACTTTTGACAAGGGTTGACCAGTGCAAACTCAGGTAACGTCTCAGGTAGACGCCGCATGCAGACGCCTCAGGTATTACTTTGTACGCACTACTTCTAGGTTCACAGGATGCTATTGTTGTGCTGCCTGTGCACGGGTCTTGTGCAAGCGACTTGGTTTGCCTAGCTTACAGACCACGCCTTTGCGGTCGAAATCAAGTTTCATCTCGGACCCAGGGACCTTCAATTCACCCGACAGGAGGAGTGGGCTCCTCTCTGCACTCCTCTCTGGTCTCCATCAACTTGCGCCGCAACAATGGCTCTGCATTGGAGATGAAGTCCTTACGGAAGCCTATGGTGGTGGTCATGAAACTCACCGGGCAGGAGGCGAGCTGGTCAAATAGCTGGAAACAGCTGGTTGTGTGTCAAGTGTCTCCCAGTGCAAACTTTGTGTTAGAGATGAGATCATGAAGAAATTCATTAGGGAAGACCTGGGATGCCCTCAAAAATCCGTACCAAAGAGTCGAGTAGTTGATGGAGCTCCTGTTTGGTCTCCTCTTCGCCGCAGGGGAATGCCACCTGTGCCTACTGGGACGAGGACGAGTACCGCTGGTCCACGGAGGGAGTCACAGCGCTGGGCACGACGAACTCTGAACTGCGCTGTGAGACCACCCATTTGTCGATCTTTGGTGCTGCGCCTTTGACCAAACTTTGTGATTTGACCGTGCGGATGGACCATGCAGCCGATGTGGTGCGCGCATTGAGCGAAAGGTTCCGCGGGTCAGGTAGGCTTTGATGCCAGCAGTCAAGAGCATTTGACGTCGTGTCAGTTTGCATGGCACGTCCGCGCTCGACTGACTGAGGTGCTGCTTTCCACGCTGCTGCAGCAGGACTGACCAAGCAAGGCAAGAGCCAGTGTAAGGGCTGGACATGTAATGTGCAGTGCAAACTGCAACTGCATGTTAAACTTGTTCAGAACATCTTGAGAACTGTGGACAAACTACATACCCCCTTGGGCTTTAGCTTAAGGTAGCATGTCTTGAAGCAATTTCTTTTCCTTTGGCCCGGAATTGGAGGAGCTTGCCTCGCCAGATTGTGAAGTTGGCAGCTGGACACCAGAGGGTATGGTGGTGCTGTTCAAGTTTGAAAGTGCTCTGCAAGTGCTTGGATCCTTGGCAAGCAGTTGGGCCCCAGCTGCCCAAGATAAGCCACACCATCAGCTTCATGTTTTCGTTCTTTAGCCAGCATGGAGCAGCTCAGGAAGCCACAACATGTCCTCTGCGGGCCATGTGGTCTTGTTTGTCGGCGTTTGCTTGCTTTTGGGCTGCAACACAGGAGCTGAATCAACACGGATACTTCTACTGACAAAGCTTGAGAATCACAGGAGTTCAGAACAGAATCCAGATTCACAGCAAGAGTCTTGCTGTTTAAAAGGGACTCTTGTGGATTTGCCATGCAGCTAGTTCCTCCATTCGATCCGCTCCCACTTTTCACACCCTACCATGAGGTTCTTAATGGCCGTCGCTTGGGGGGTCTATAGCCAACAAGCGCAAGATGACAAAGATGTGAAGGACACGATCCTCAACCGTTCAACTGGCCAGGCACGGAAGAGCAGAGATGGAGGATGAGACTCAGACTCCGTCTCAAGACCTCTCTGCAGTGCTCCCTTAAGAGACTCCAGAGGCTCCCAAAACGATACTTTGCTGTGTTTCTCAGACATCCCAGTCACCTTCCTCAGTGAAGTCTCTCTTGTTTTAGCTGCCTTTGGAGACCAGATCAACATGATGAATGGTCGTTTGCCAAGTGGCTGATCCTCCAAGCAGGTCCTCTTTAGGATCCATTCGGGGGGGGGTCCAGCCGTGGGTCGAGGCAATGACGTTTGAGTCGGTGGTTGGAGCATGCATCCTGGCCGCCTCTGGCTACAGGACCTGATGAAGCATGTTGGCCAGATCTAGGCTGTGATTCTGTGGATTTTTGTCCCCCACAAGCTAGTGCTAAGTGTGTTTTTTCCGGATGGTTGGACTCATTCCATTACGGGAGTGTGCCTTTGTTGGGGCGGAGCCACTTTGCGTTACTCCTAAATTCATGATCAAACCCCTGTGGCTCATGTTCTACCCGCTTCGGTCGTCACTGCAAAAGGCACCTGGAAAGATATGGCCCGTTGAGCCAATACCTGGCACTCCAAGCATCTCTTTTTGCAACGTTGAGAAGTCAATGAACCTTTGTAGGACTGGATTGGAGCCGGAAATTGTGAAGGCGGGCTTTCGCTTGCTGGTGAGCGTTGTTTGGGTTTGAAACCCTGTTGCTCGTTCAAATCAGCCAGTCTGAAGGAACACATTAATGGAGCCAAGAATGCAGATTGAGAGGTTAACAATAGTGCTTCTGTTGCTTCAATCTTCCTCCAGAACTAACCATATTCCACCCACTAGATCTGAAGATCCAGGCACTGGGCTCTAGCGTTGGGCGACGCCGGTCTTTGTCCAGAAGCTTCAGCAGCTCCAGCGATGCTTGTCTTCGACGTTTTGAGATTGCGGGTGGCGGATGCAGGTCTTTACATGTCTTTACCCCATACCTCCCCAAAGATCTGTGGATACAACGGTGTTCTTTGCACGCCATCCAGACAATCCATATGGATTTGACATCAAAAGTCTCATGGTTTCGAAGCCGATGGACGCTTCTGGCGTGTTTCCATCCGTCTTCTCAGGCCCGCGTCACACGAAGCGACAGCTCCCAGAAACTTGGACAGAGCTCCACGGCCTGGGAGGTGCCAAGCAGGCCACAAGACCTGAGATGTTGCACTGAAGGAGGCAGACCAATTAGGCCCTAGGCTCAACGGATTGATTCTCGATGTTGAATCTCGCCGACACGTCTTATTGCATTGCAAGTGTTTCAGAAGCTTTCGCTCTTTCGAAATCGACACAAGCATACTGGCTCCCAGCTTACACATTTCAGAGCCTTTTCATCTCCCAACTTGCCAAGAGCGACTGAATGGAGGCTGCAAGACCTCCCACAACTGCAAAACTTCGTTTGTGACTTCGAGGTCTTGGCGCAGAAACGTGTCGCGGCCCGGAAGTGGGGTGGCAGGAGGTTGTGACATGTCAGAGGCCTTGACACCGTTGACACCCCAAACGACCTCACACGGACGGTGGGTGAACGACGAGGGGTCTTGGTCGGTTGGTGGAGGTGGACTTTGTATCACCAAGCGAATCCATTGATTCATTTGGACACATAGAAATGAATCAATGGATTCGCTTGGTGATACAAAGTCCACCTCCACCAACCGACCAAGACCCCTCGTCGTTCACCCACCGTCCGTGTGAGGGCATATCAAACCAGTCTTCTTCACCGACGTTCATGATGGACTGGGCGTTTCGAGAAGCCGACAATATTAATCTAAGGTCGAGCAGCAGAGGACTTTGTGGATGCGCCATGGTCCATTCGGACACTGCAGATGTCACTCGAAGACACAAACCAAGCGACAGAAAGACAAAGAAAGAACGCAAGGAGGGAAGGAAGGAGGGAAGAGTGGAAAGAAGAAACAAGGAAAAGGCCCTGCACATATCACTTCTTGTTTGCTTTTGGGTTGGCCTCTAGGGTGCCCACTGAAAAAGCAGCAAGTCTTGCTGGGACTCGCACCGCTTAAGGTTCCTGGCAACTCATGAGTGGTTGGCAGTCCATCGCTTCAGCCTCTTTACCCAGAAGCACGTCCGTGTCTGGGCAAGAATATTTTGACAAACAGGAGGATAAACTGCTAAGTGTTTGGAAGATACAACCCGATCCAACCAGGTATCGCCTTTGTCTTCTTTAAGCTCCTTGTAGCAGCTGCGTTCAACGCGCTCTTCCTGTCGGGCATGCCCGCAGTACCAGAGGCTGGCCAACCGCACCGTGCGGGACCATGTCGCATGTTAGAACCCCACTGTTGATCCTTTGTTTTCGGACCTTGTCATATAAGAAGAAATGGACAGTGTCATCTATGTTCATCTACGTTCCAGCACATCGTTGACCTTCCGACATGATTTCGAGTCCAAAGTGCCAGGAGTGCCCTGCACCGAGCGGATTTGGGAGTGTGGTGCCTCACCTGGATTTGGGCGTTTGTCTCGAATAGGCACAGGGCATAAGGCTTGGATGTTGTGCTTTGGGTAAGCATGCAAGTCAAAACTTGAGTACCAGTGACCATTCTAATCAGGGTTGACAGTTATATAACAAGCTAGTTTTCTTTCTGTTGAAGTAGCAACCAGGTTGTGCAAAATATGTTCAAGAGCACATTCCATATTGGGCTTCAATAAGTTTGTTCCGGGCTTGCACATTGCAGACTCTAAACCTTCTGAGGTACAATTTATTCTTGTGGGCGTTGGCTCTGCCTTTGTGGCAGACGCTTTGAGATACGGCTTGTTTCGACTACGGCAGCGAAGTACATTTCTGGTCTGGGCTGCTGGGCTGGGATTACAAGACTTTACAGCACCTCTCGCCAGCTTTCTGCCAAGCAGAATCTCTAGCTTGTCATTTACCTGCCCAAGCTAGTCACAACATCTCACATCCATTTCACCCAAGGTACTTTGGCTCATTTTGGTGTTGCTTGTGCTCTTCTTCTGCCTCATTTTCCTCGCGGTCGATGGAGACCAATGGCTGGAGAGTCTTGGTGCAAGCCTACTGCAGGCCTGCGAGACGTTCCTGTGTGTAGTCAGAACTTGGCGCTGAGGGAGTGTTAGCCAAGCTCATCCTGTTGGTTCTTTGTTGACAAACCCTTGGATGCCCATCTCACGGCCTCTAAGCCTTCAGTACCTTTAGACAGCTTTTCGGATGTGGCAGGAGATCCTCCTGGGGCCCATGGTCTATTCGATGTATGTAGCCACACGTGCTACGGTGACGTTGAAGAATCCCGATGTCTTGGATGCAGTGGTGCGAAAGTGGATTGACGAGGAGGGTTTTGGGGGATTGAGCAGTTTGGGAAAGGACACGACATGCAGCTGGAGCACAGAAAGCAACGAGGATTGTTGCAGGCACAACTCTTTACTGAATTCATTGTTTCAAGTGCTAGCTGCTGGTAATTAACAATGAAGGTGTCTTGGCCCTGAACCCAAAGCACAGGAACAGAGCCCTTTTGGATCCAAACTCTGAGCCCCAGCATCAATCTTTTGCAGGATGAGGAAGCTTCTCCAGGCTCGTCTGCAGCATTGATCTGCGACCGTGAACCTGCGACTATGAATATATAAGACTTTCGACGTAGGACCCTGGGGTGTGCAAGTCTGCCATCCTAGAGCCACACCAGCCACTCAAGTGAACTTGAGAACACCTCCATCAGGACTGATCCAACCAAAAGAAGGCGTCAAGCGGGATCAGGGCCAGAGGGGACCATCTTAGAGGGATGTTATATAAGATGACGCAGGTTGACCATTTTGGCCATAGGCCAAGAGAACACCAGATGGTTCCGAACCATATCAGATTTCTTTCTCATTGCACTTTTTCCCCAAACAGTCTACTGTTAGGGGTTCTCAATTCTTTCTTAAGATGTGTCCGGCCTTTCTGTCACTGCTGGTGTCCGCCCTTTTCCGCTGGCCATGCACTCCCAGGTGATTTCTTTACTTTTGTCTCCCAGGTTCGGCGCCTGCACGCCCTTTTCCGCTGGCCATGCAGCATTTCTATTCATTTGTCTCCCAGGTGATTTCTTTACTTTTGTCTCCCAGGTTCTGCGCCTGCACCGCTGGTGTCCGCCCTTTTCCGCTGGCCATGCAGCATTTCTATTCATTTGTCTCCTGGGTGATTTCTTTACTTTCCTAAACAGGTTACTCTTAGGGGTTCTCAATGCTTTCTAAGAGTGTCCACCTTGCTGCGGGACAGCGTGTCCGCCTTCCGTCCGGCTTGTCACTCTTTGTCTCCCTTCTTGTTGGTCACTGTGTCCGCCTTGTCTCCCTTCTGTTTCCTTTTGTCTCCCTTCTTGTCTCCCTTCTTGCTGCGCGGTGCCAACTGCCTTGCAATCCTTTCCATTTGTTTGCCAGCTCTGGACTGCTGTGTTGCAGTCCTTTACATGTCTCCCAGCTCCGGACTGCTGTGTAGCTCTGGGCTGCTGTGTCCGCCTCTGCCTTGCAATCCTTTACATGTGCCCTCTCGCTTGCAACCCTTCACATTTGTCTCCCAGCTCTGGTCTCTCTGCCCTGCAATCCTTTACATTTGTCTCCCAGCTCTGGACTGCTGTGTCCGCCTCTGCCTTGCAATCCTTTGTCTCCCAGCTCTGGACGTCGCAGGCTCTAGTTGCAGAGTGTTCCGAGTTTGAAAAGCACAAACTGTTTGGGGTCTACGGTGGTGTAACTACATGCAATAGCAATGGCCTCCAACTTAATAGCAATGGCCTCCAGCCTAAATGCACAGTTTGAGGACGTTTTTTTCTCTAGAGATGACTCCGTTTCGAGGCGGCGAACCGTCAGCAGTTCTGCAAGTGCTGCCCTCGACTCCTGCGGGCCGTGGTGGCCGTCGCACCAGTTTCCGGCGGGAGGCCAGTCATAGGGGTCCGAGGAACTCGAGAAAAAACCGTACCATGACTTTCGGCTGTGCAGCGGTGAAACACGTGCTGCCACTCCTAGGGAGTAGGTAGATTTCATATGATTTGGTTGGATGAAGGTGCATAATTGCAGAGCTTTCAGCCACTCCAATGTCTCAATTTGATGCCAGGAAGAGAGGGGAGAAACGGAAGAGAAGCGTGTGACCTTTCGACGGTCGCAAGCGACCCTTGGCCGCAACCATGGTTTGGACTCCATGACTCCATGACTCCTGCAGCACGCTAAGCACAGCCGTTGTTATTCGTCCCAGATTTCACTGTTTGGCCTTTCAGATGAGACATTCTGGCCAGGAACGCTGGAGACGGCCCGAAGAATTTTGAGGGCATTTTCCCAAAGGAGGCCCAAGTGGCCCAAGCTGCTGACAGTGTGGAGACTGTGGCCACCTTGGAGTCAGTCAGCACATCCCAAGTATTTAGTTTTGGCATCGCGTGTGATTATTTTGGGAGACTTTTATACTTTCTCAAGGATTATTGGGTGATACATTGTGTGATATTGACTTTTTGCACCCTTCCTGACATTGTGCTATTTGTCTCAGTGAGAACAAATAGCCTGTGCGCCAGGCCTGGCAGGAGCAACCAGAGTCAAGCCCTTCTTTGAAGTCCAACAGGAGTCCAAACGCTGTTCTCTGCTTGGCTAGTTCAATGAGCTTTCTTTAGGTGCTTCCTTTTTGCCCAAAGACCAACCACAAATGCTCGGCCTGCATTTGTGTCAAATTTTGAACCTGGTGCCCAACGACCCAAAGTATGCTGTTCTCCATTTCCCCAAGGGACACATAATTTGCAGTGTAACGGAAAAGACGTTGAACCAATTGGACGATCATGCGATTAATCAGCATGGGCACAGTGAGAGTCTAACCTTGTGACGAAGAAACACCGTTTTTCCTGTTGGAACACGAGTTGATTGCCCTATCATGAATGTCACTTCTGACCACAGGATCCGGATGACTGAGCGCAGGGCTGCCTATCAAAAGGCCTATGATGAAGCATTGGAGGACCTTCGTCCACGACGCCCGATGCGAAGTCGAAGATCCCATCCGATCAGAATGAAACATATTCTCATGCAGTTTGGTGCAGTTTTCTGACTTGCCAATTCATGTTTTGGAAGGACTCATGCTACCACCCACTGAAGCAGGTGGCCTTGTCCCGAAATGATACCCTCTTGTGGATTGCAGGATGGAAGGAGCGCCGCAGAAGCCAAAGAACTTGCGACAGCTGCAGCTTGGCGATGCGTACATAGGGTGCAACATCATCGTTTTACAAATATTTTTTTGGGTCATGACCGTCAGTCATGATAGACTTGCAGAACGTTCTGAACAAATGCCAATCACGTGAAACGTCTTTGATTCAAAGAGCATCGCAAGGGTGCCACAGGGTGTCTGCCAAAGGTGCCAGCAAAGCTCATGTGTTGTACGCATCAATGTCTCAAAGTGAGATGCAAAAACGAAGGAGTTTTGCGCTTGGTCCAGGTATTGTGATTTGGACTTAGAAGTCGAAGATCATTTAACCCCTGATGTTGGCGGTCCATGACCGTCCAATCTGATCCTCCACAACTTGGAGACTCGCAACAAGCACAATAAGAACTGATTTGCTAGGTTTTGAGATGCTGTTGGGCTTTCGACATTGGTGTCTCAAGAACGATAAGAGTCCCCCAAGTCCCTCAAATGGATCCCGACACCACGGCGATTCGACCTCTGACGCTGACCCGCCACTGCAAGGCCTTCCGCCGCGTGGGCCACACGCGCAGATTGGGCCGTGCGGGTTCCAGCTCATCCTTGGGCGATGGGAAGTCTCCGAAGGCGGGGAAGAGTTTCTTCGGGTTCTCCAATGTTCCAGAAGAAAGGTGGAAAAGGACCATATATATATATACATATACATACTGTGTATATATATATATTTTTCGATTTCGATTCGCGCACGGTACGACAAGTGCAGCGCCTAGCATTGAACTCTTAATTCGTGACGGGCGCCCTGCGGAAATCGGGTCCAAAGGAACTTGTCCTATCGGGAGTGGAAGAAAAAGATCTCAACCACTCCCGGGCCACTTCGACTTCCCTCAGTGGCGAAAACGCTCTACTCTCCCGCCAAACTCTGTACAGTAGAGCGATGAAACGACATAGATCTGAAGGGTAGACTTTCAGTCTGCTAGCTTTCCACCCTCTATCACTCGCACTATCTCCACACTAGATTGCATCAGAGAGAAGAGCTGCATAATTGGCTCTACCTCCCCTTCATGTTCGTTGTCTGGCAAAACATCGGACTCAGACTTAGTGCTAAAGTCACGACCAAAACTGCCTAAAGCACAAGTATCAGCCAACCTGGACTGCATATGTCAGTGCTTGGAAAAGATGTCTTCTTGAGCGACAGCTGCCGCTCCACCCCCACAAGACAAGGAGAGGTTCGTTCCAGGGGAAGCCCAAAAGCGCCCAACGACAGCATCCCGCAATCGCGACTCTGGTAGGTCTGCCGTGTGATAATGAGAAGGCAAGATGCAAAAAGATCGGCGCAATTTAGCTTCCCTGGGACAACCACTGTTGTCATCCCGCCTCATCCAGTCAGCGCTGAATGATGACACATGGTGGTAGTTGTTCATTTCGTGATTCAACTGCATGAAAGTCAGGGGTTGCAGGTGATCCCCTATGGATGAGGAGGGTTGTTCCACTCCCCATGGAAAAACTTGGTGCCCCTGCGTTGCCTGCGCTCCAAGAATGTTGAAAAGCAGGAAGAGGCTCATTCTCTTACTGTCAGATCTGTGATGACGGATTGGTTTGAGTCGGGTCATCCCGACTTTCCTGCAACCCTTCAGTGAATCAATCCTAAATGTGATGCAAAAACGGGCAAGAAGGAGAAGTCCAAGGAAAACAGCCAAAAACATTCCCCCTTGCATAGTGGCAGCTCGAGGACGGATATGCACACCATCCAAGAGAAACTCGGTTCCCAACAGCCAATTGGCCGTCCAGACCCATTGGTATATGAATGCCATGGTTGTAGCCAGCAAATTCAAATACCATTGAATTAGTAGCTTCTCATCTCGAAGACCTCTAAGAGGGCTGAGGTAAATCTTCTTGTGGAAAATAAGAAGGGACTTGATCATCAGCCAACCACAGCACAAAGCTAAGCTCGCTGCTCCAGCAATCCAGCTAAAACTTGTCATACGACCCACAGCATAGGTAAAAGCACCAAAATAAGGATTCTGATGCACCGCAGTCTGATAACAAGCAGCCCGAAGCCAGTCAACAAAAGAACCGAAGTAGTCTGTCGCCCTTTCAAATCTGGCGCCAAGTACTCCATCTATAGAACCATCACTCTTAATGGCGTCGTTGAAACAACAAGGCATGGGGTTGAGGCCCACAAATGGACCGACTCCATAATTCCATGCTCCAGGATATCCGGAAGGAAAACCTGAAGAAACACTTTCTGAAAAACTCCAAGCGGCCAAGGTCGTCCTTGAAGAGCTGCCGAACAGACTCCAAAAAGGACAATCACCTGGGTTTCGGCCTAGGATTCCATTTTCGAAAGCCCTGCCGAGCCACTCGATTCCACTGATAGCGATGCATCCCTTCGGGGGCTCCGCTCTCTGCCGGGGCCTTCCCCAAGTTGGATCTTCATCTTTTCCACCTGTGCCAGACGAGCTGATCTCTCGCGATCTCTCGTATCTGCCATCTGGGGAGAGAAGGCATTGAACGCTGGTCCAACAGGTGTCGCTGGTGTTTCTCCATGTTGGACTAGGTAAGCATTGAAGCGGTCTGTGAGCTCTGTGAGAGCCCTTCTGGATGCAAGAAGCTCGGTTTTGAGCTCGAGATTCTCTGCTCCCAGTACCTCTGGGCTCATAGTGAGATCTCCCGGCTCGAAACGTCCAGTTTCTCTGAGCATGGTTTCCAAATCCTGGGTTGCTGCCTCGATCTCTTTCTCCAACTCCTTGACTTCTGCTTCGTAGATCTCCTTCTGTGACTTCCGATGAGCATCGAGACGTTCCTGGAATTGCAGCCATGCTTTCTTCTTGGCAACAAGCCGCGCCTTCAGCTTCTCGAGCTTTTGCGTGGCTTTTTTCCGGGAATTCAAGGACTTCTGCTCTGCCTGAATCTGTGTCAAAGGACCATTCTCCAGCACCTTGGCCGCCTCCTCCGAGGTCTGCAAGCCATGCTCGACCAGGTAAGCAGCCACCGCCTCCTTGATCTGCTGCGAGTCCACAGACGGCGTAGATGCCGATGAAGAGGACTGCACTGATGAAGAGTAGGCAGGAAATTCGATGTCCCCATCTTTCTTGCCTTTGCTTTTGTCCTTGTTGAGCTCCTTCTTGTCTTCTCCCTTTCCTGTCTTCGGCCATGCGCCACTCCAGTAGTAGCCTTTCTGGCCGGTACCCTTGTAACCACTCCATCCCATTGGCGTAGAGTGGTGATTCTCGAGGATCCTCACAGCCCTTTGTAGCTTCGCTATCCTCGATGGCTTGATCCAGTGGGTGGATCGTGATTTCTGCAGGCGCAGCAGCTTGCGAGCTTTGGATCGAACAAGTCTTGCTTTCCTGTGCCAGCTTGGTGAGGAAGGATACTTTCCCGTATTGCAGACTCACTAAGAACTCGCCCCCACCAACAAAGTTCCCAATGGCAGCAACGATGAAAGCACCGTAAAGACGTGCCGTGATACGGCACTGGGGTTCGCGTCTACCTGGTAAAAACCTGGCACTTGAGCCCTGTATATATATATAGTTAATTGAAAGATGAAGAAATAGAATGTGGAATCTCTTGTTGGCTGATTCTGTTTGTAGGTTGATCGGGGTGTGACTTGAAGGATTTGCTTCAGGTCTTCATAGAGTCACAGATCAAAGGTTTGCCAACTGTCAAGTTTGTAGGAGTTGGAATGACTTGGGACGACGTGGGGATAAAGTGGGTCAGTGGGGCACCGCGGAGGAACAGGCCCTCGCTACATGAAGTTTTGAATGCACTGACTTGAACCACATGTTTCAAGACGATGAATGGCATTTTTGCTTCAAACTTTTCGAGCCAGGTGCCAAGTTGTTCCATGTCAGCATTTCTATCTTAGCATTCTGGCACATTATGTTAATGCTCTGCCACATCAACTTGGCACTGTTTTAGTTAGACAGTTTGATGCTGTTCCATTTCAGCGGCGTGACTTTCACATAAGTACTCACAGCAGACGAAAAACGCCTGCACTCACAGGTGCAAACACTTTCGGACACCACAGGCGTTTGGCCATGTGTGGCCCTTGTGCAGGTCACCCGTCAACGCTCCGGCGGGTCTCCACGCTCGGGCGGGTCTCGACAGTCTTCTCCACGTCAAATGGAGGTGCCAGGCCATGTTGAGGCCAGGATTCTTTGGTGAAACGACTCTTGAGTGAAAACTCCTTTTCAAGAAATAGAGGTCAGAGGTTAGCCACTCTCTTGTGCCAACTGAATCAGAACCAGCTGAGTGAATCTGGAACGTAATTCATTACCTCGTGGAAACATCTGAGTTCAACATACGAACTCGTTTGCTGTGCGTCAGGAGAGCTCCGACTCGGAGGCCTCCGAGGCCATGAAAGCGAACAGGCGAGACGTCCTGTCGAACAGGACACCATGATGTGAATGTACATGACACCATGTCACCATGAGATACCAGCACTAACGATGTCTCTTGTATGATTCCTAGTTTTGTGCCTCGACCAGGTCTGATCTGGCGCGAAAAGGTGAAGTCTATCGGATTGCGTATGAGAAGCTTGGTGGTTTTGGACAATCTTTGGAAAGGCTTGACAGGTGTTTGAGGGATGTATTTATCTACCCTTGCTTTTACTTTGTGGAGAATCCATCGATTCCAAATTTGGTTTGCTTTGTATGCTAATTGCATCTAATTGCCGACCGGGCCAAAGGCTGAGAAATGCAAAAAAAGCCTCGGTTTTCAACATCTGTTCAGCACCCTGATAGGTCTGAGAAGATCGATATGTTAAAGCGCTTTATGGTGGCAAGGGGTGTGCAAAGGTGTTGTCCGTTGATGACCATATTGACCGTTGATCAATCAACCCCCCCTTACCTGGACAGTCAAGCATCTCTACATGGGTTGTATGTATCAGAAGTCAACATTATTTGGAGTGTGTTCAGTCCTCTTTGAGGGTTGCTGCAACAAGTTGCAAGTCAAGCTTTGGTAGCTCTCGCTCTGAGAGTTCTTAGGAGAGCAATTGATTGGGGCATGGAGCCAGACGAGGCCAAGGAGATGGCGAAAGCAGCGACTTTGCGCAAGGTTACAGGGACGTCTGGCACACTCGATTGTTTGTGGGCAACAACACAGCCGATCAAAATTCTGCATTTTGGATTCCACGGGACCCCTGTAGTGAACCTTGTCCGCCTTCTTTGTGATTGACTGCAAACTAATGCATATCCCGTTCCCAATATTGCATGGACTGAGCCCCTTTACCTCATGCATGCGCCTGAGGCTTATCGCAAAGCTTGAGAACATGGCAAAGCCATCCAGAATCCAGCGATGGAACAAGATCACCTTTGCTCAATCCTTAAATGCTACAGCCAATACATTGCCCACAGGATTTCCAAAGCATCAGAACTGTACGGAGTCTAAAGCCTACTGTTTGACAAATCCAAGCTGGACCTTTGTGAAAGCTTCTTGGCATCGTAGCGGTTGCGTTACTTGCCATTCCTTTTGCTGAAAGAATTCGCCGGCAAAGCATCAGCCGCTGTCATGCTCCCAAGGGAGCCCGTTTCGCTAAGTGGTGTTGACCATAGAATACTGCAAGAGGTGACAACCAAGTCATCATTGAAATTCCGAGTTGGAGGTGTTTTGTGGCAGATACGGCCATGACAGTGGCAGTGCTCCATTCTTTTTTGCACGGCTATGTTATTTGTTGCGCCAGTGGTGCTAGAAGACTGACACAATGTTAGCCAGGCGAATCGTGCCATTTCACCGAAACGATATAGATAAATTACGATTCCCAATCATTAATGAACACATATTGTCAAACATATACATCCACCATCACTTGGCATTGCAACTGCAATGCACGAATTTCAATCGCATTCGATACGTTTTAAAGTTAATCCTTCTTTAAAAGAAGAATTAATTAATTTTGACATCGAAAAAAAAAAAAACAAATAAACAAACTATATATTAAAATATATACACATTGGAATATATATATAATATAATTGATTTTTTTGAAGGAGACGCGAGAGTGCAAGTTTTGTTTTTAAAACTATTTATTGTTTCTAATATTACGATAAGGCCTACTAATAGGCGCGCGCGCGTAATTCGGCTAGATTAAACAATTCTAAAAGTTTGCCGAGATTTTGGGACTTTCAGCGAAGATATTTTTCTTTTTGGCGGCTTTATATTTGGTGCTCGGTTATAACGTTAACGGAAAGGATCCGAAATAACTTGATTAATTTGGAGATTTTAAATTTTCGATTTCCCAAAAAGACTTGATTATTTAAAGACGCTTCGCGTCGATAGCCGCCTATATCGCGTACGAACAACCGAAGTTAGTGAAATGGAAGTAGCCATTTAGGCGCTGGGTTGGGGACAAGTGTAGCCATCTAGGTTGGCTGCCTTACGGCATTGGAGCCATCTTGGGGCCAACTTCGTTTACCTTGGGGCCTATAATGGTGATATAACTTCGGCCTTGCCAAAAGCCATCAAATATACCTCCAAAACGCTGTCCTTAGTGGGCCTGTAGCCGAACAAGAATCAACGCAGCAACCACCCCAAAACACAAAAGCTCTTCCAAAGCGCTCTCCCCAGTGGCCCTGCAAGCACGACGTAACCAAAGGCCATCTAAAAATGTATCTCCAAAGCGATCTTCCTAGTGGCCCTGCAGCTCAACCGTAGCCACGCACGCGTGAAAAAAAGGGGCGCCAGGTTGGCTGTCTTACAGCTGCGTTGGAGCCATCTTGGGTCAACTTCGTCTATCTTGGGGCCCATAATGGTAATACAACTTCGGCATTGCCAAAAGCCATCCAAAAATACACCTCTAAAACGCAGTTCCCAGTGGCCCTGCAGCCGAGCAAAAATCGACGCAGCAACCACCCCAAAGCACAAAAACTCCTCCAAAACGCTCTCTCCAGTGGTCCTGCAAGCACGCCCTAACGAAAAATCATCCAAAAATGTACCTCCAAGCCGCTCTCCCCAGTGGCCCTGCAGCCTAACCATAGCCGCGCGCGCGCGCGCGCAAAAAAAGAGGTGCCCCCCTAGCAGAGCTATATGCATAGGAGGTGTTTGCTAAAAGCTCGACGGCAAGAGCCCCAATAGCACGCCCTGCACCGGATTTTGATATTACTGCTATACCACTAGGCAAAAAGCATGATGCTTGTTTGATTGCTCCCAGGTCGATGGAAACATGAATATGGAACGGGTGATGATTTTGAGGTATGACACAGCACTCCAGAGACTCGTACGTAGGTCAATCCATAACAGATTCTACCAAACAATTACAACCATACACAATCATGTATTGATATCCAATGTCCATGCAGGTAGTATTCCTATCTACTGTCCAATCCACAAAAAATCAGCTTAACCGATAAAATCCGGTTCACCCGATTATTGCTTTTTGTAGCCAGGTTTGCTATCCAATTTTGAGTTTGGGTGATGCCAGTAACCATTTCACCTCAGGTCAGATTCCAATATTGCTCATACTGTTAGTTTATTCACATGTTTGTCCAACTGTAGTTGTAATCATCTTGTGAGGTCATGCATTAACTTGCGCTGAATTGTCTTTGTTCAAGAGACCAAATTTTTCTGTCCACTGTCCACCAGCCTGGCGACCTGGCCTATGTGCAGAGAGCTCACCAGGAGGGGGACAGCCGGGAGCGATTGTATTCTTGCCTGCTGGAAGAGTTCTGGTAAGAACAGCTGTGAAGCAATCCATATGGCCTCGCCACCTTTTTGATGCTTGGGCTAAAGCCCCGAAAAGCCAATATGATCCGATAT